TCACTCATGAGCTTTTCTGTTACGAGCTCATTTCGCTGAAACTGAGTTAGGTTAGCGTCACATTCAGCCTTTTTACAGACATCGTACAAAAAGAAGTTGAGTTTATGTAATAATTTTCTAAGTTATTAACCCTTTCTATAGTTTTTGTTTGTCCTTTATGTAATAGTAATTACGTGATTTAAAAATATGTATTTACTTAGTCATACTAGTTGAATTTTTTTTCTCTTAAAGATGCTAAGGTTTCCTAAGGGTCGGTAACGTACACATGACACCTCTGGTGTTTCAGGCGTCCATAGGTTACAGTAACCGTTTACCATCAGCTGGGCCGTATGCTTCATTACCACCATCGTAGTATGTAAACCACAAATATCGTATCAATTAGCGAGCAGGAGACACTTGAATGTACCTACTCTATAACTACAAGTTTATTAATAAAATTTGCATGCCTACAGAAAAAAGGCATATTACAGCGCAGCCTACAAATGTCACTGGGGCTTAATTGTTATGTGTATATCTGTTTATAACGCGAATAAATGACTTACTTACTTAAAAAACATTATAAAGCTTAATATTGACACTGATCTTCTATAATAATACACTATTATCACATAATATGTACATTCATTTACAGTAACTGGATTCAATATATTGTTCATAACTTCATAATATATTTTATGATACCAATAAATATATTAATGGCTGAATACAATAGCTGTTTGTTTGAACATTCGCAATTATTGTTAAACGATTACAATGTAACTATATCTATTGAAACTTTACTTCCTGTAAGTACAACACTCGAGTCTCATATTCATAGGTAGATAACCTACCCTAGTGACGATTTTTACAAATAACAAATAACCCCCTCCGAACGATCCCCCGTCCAATTCGAACGGGGATCGAAATTACGACGCTCTGAGCCAAGCTTCGAACCCCAAGCAGTGCCCTCAGATTAAAGCGTATCCATCAGGCGGGAGTTGAACTTCAGCCATTCCATAAGTGCTTCCACGGGTTTGGAGGCGGACAACATCATTAGAGTAGTCCGAAAAAAAAAACTTACGGCAGATCTGATGGTCAATGTAACAGTTTATGAAGGAAGCTAACTGATGGAAATTATTCATATAATAGAGGACAGAGGTACCTATACGCATTTTGTGCAGATACTACTTACAGTGTATTAAGAATATTTTTAAAATGTATGATGGCTTTGGTAGTCTTGAAGTTCACCACACCGTTTTGATTAGATATAAGTAAAAATGAGTGTCCTTATTCGCCAACAAACTGCAAAGCAGTTTGGCGATAATTGTAAAAACAAATTGTGTATATGTAATACTTATAAATAAATAAAAAAAAAAAGCTTCCAATAGTCGCGGATTTGATTCCGCGCATGGTACACATTAGTATTCATAAGTATTATTGTTCACATTACCTACGTATGTATTAAAAAGTGTAGGTACGTAAGTATTATAAATTATCTAGTACCTATAACACAAACTGTATAATACAACTGTTTAGGATTAGATGGCATTGTGTGAATTATCGATACAACGAAAATATAGATAGGTCACTCTACATAAACGTGTAGTCTTAAAATTAAAAAAAAAATCATTTACATACAGGTAAATTCCGATCCATATTGAGAAGCGTGTCCTTTTATAGTCGGTAAAAAAATACATAATTGTCATTCTGCGAGTTAAGTCATTGATGCAACTCCCAGTGTATCACTGACATTAAATTTTAATCACGGCCCGCTCATTCTGTTTTAATACAGCCCGCCGCGCAGTTCACATCATGGGCTTTTATTACTCGGGTACAAGTTATTAATACCCCATAACAGGACGTGGATACCTATCTACTATATTGGGTTGATAAAGCATTATTTCATGTATCCAATTATTATAGATATACTGTTATAACTAGTGGCTCGCCCTGACTTTGCTCGTAACATGTTAACCTAACATATAGTCTGTCTCTTTCTGAAATAATGTAAGTTTATTATTTATAATGTTGGTATAACACTTCTTACCTGAATGTAAATATTTTATCTGTGGTAGGTATAGCCTAGCTCATCCTGGTTTATTACTGTCGCAGAATACCTACTATGAAACTATCGACCCGGTTTTGTACAGGCGCAATCATTTAAGGTATATCTCTTATTGTACTAATATTATAAATGCAAAAATGAATGTCTGGCTGTTTAATCTCTTTTAAAAAAAATGAAATTAAATCTCTTCAAATAAAATTTTAGGTCAATGTATAAGTATCAATCTATGTTAGATTGATACTTATACATTGACATAAAAAAAAGTCGAAATCGCGGAAACGGCAAATGAATATACGTGAAATATAGACAGTAATATGGCAAAATTAAAGTCTCTAATAGACATAATTATGTAATTCATAGAACTATTACGTATACAACAAAAATGCGGGAGCAATAATAACAAATAATTTAATATGTTGGCCATCCCACAGACCTTGTATACACAAACGGTTATAAAAGAGAAATTTCCTGCTTACAATCTCAGTGGCCACAAAAGACCACTCTATAATTGAGCAAAGACAAAACTCTGTTGCCAAAACTTAGTACAAAAGAGAACAGACTTATTGTTTACAAACTTTTGTAGTCTGTGCCTTTCTGGCGCGCTATTGTTTTGCCGCCAAAACGTCATGCTGAGAAATAATAAAATGGCCGACAATTGGATTGTAACAAATACAGTAGTAAATGTTTTGTCAATAAATTGCTACCGTTTCGAATGATAATTTGTCAAAATTATAGCGTTACGACTACCCTTTGGAATTTTATTGAGCAGTTATTCTGAGTAGTTAGGATGTTGTAACTTATTTGCAAAGAAACTGGTCGTATTTTACACCAGATAACCTGCAAGTTGTTTTGCCATATAATTCAATATCGATTTTAAACAATATGAGTTGATGATAGAAAGGTAAGGGGTAGGTAGCCCACGCCAAAAATAGATTTTTATATTTTTTAACAAAAACATTTTTATTTGTATTTTGAATTTAAATATGGATACAATACATACCTACAAGACTAAATTTTTTACCAACCCCTTGCCTTCCTTATCTACCCTTCCACTATCAAACCAAATTGTTAAAAATATATAACAACCTATTCTCAGATTTATTGATAATAGATTCTTGAAATAATGGCAACTCTTGACAACTTTGTGTCATTATTAATTTTCATCATATCTGTACTAAATATATGGTAATGATGATCAAAAAGATATTTAAAAAAGACTGTCTGTTTTGCTTATCTCTGAAACGACAGGATCAATTTTGACCGGATTTTCACTCGCAGATGGCTAATGTTATAAGGAGCAAGCTAGGGTACATTTATTTTAGACACAAGTTACTAGACATAAAATATGAGAATATTTTGTACTATGGTTCTACCACCAGAGAGTAATCAGCCGGAAGCGAAAAAAAATCTAAAGAGGTAGTCATCTAAAGTTTAGTCTTTAATTGACGACCGAATTTTAAATTTCGAACTCGTAACTTTTAGCGTTGAAGTCGCATGGTACACCACTGGGTCATTAAAATATGAGATAATAAATAATATTATGAAAAATGAACATTTATCTAACGTTAACATTAACTAACCGTTAACTTCCCATAAAACAAAACGAAATTGAGAAAAGCGCAAACATCAAAAGTGCCGACGGCGCGGGATCCAGTCGGTCCCTTTGAGTAAGTTAACAATAACGCAAAACAATTCAACTTATGACTTGACCGTCCATATTTACCGCTACGTGATAAACGTTTATTGTGTTAAGCAGAGCCGTTAAGATTTGACTTTATTATTGGCGCCATAAAACTATTAAACACCTACTTAGCAATTTAACATTTTGTATACAAAATCTCAGTTGTTCATTTTGTTAGAAATCATTCGTTTTAATATGAAATCAAATCAAAAACAATTTATCCATACATATAGCACATTTTAGCCATTATATGTGTTGTTAACCAGGTCTTGACAAGAATAATTTTATGGTAAATGAATGTATTTACTTTTCTCGAAGTATTAAGACCCGGTTAACAATATAAATACCTAATTATATTAAACAATGAAGCTTATAAATTTTAGCCGCTATGAACGTTAAGTTTTTGTATTATAATTTTTTGCCTACCAACCAGTTTAGTGACAGATTGAATTGAGAATAACTAGCAGAAAACTGCACTGATTTGTTTTTTTTTAAGTAAATTATTAATGGAACTGGCAGCTATGTCATAAGAGGAATGTTTTTCTCTTAATGACTTAACATCCAATCATGTTTTTGGCATCTATTTGTCAAAAACATAGTAACTAATTAACAGTACCTAAGTAAGAGTTGGTACCGCCATTATGAGAATTGAACCAAAATTTAATATAAATATGTAATAACCGATAGATAATACCTTTAAAAAAGAATCCTTTAAAACATCAAACAAGTATGGTTTGCACATGGAAATAAAACCTTTTATAGTTCACCCTGGAAACCTTCACGGCTATTTTCTGATGACTTCGCCATGACGGACTAAGTGACCTAATTTCACTCATTATTCACTTATCTTATCAGCTTCCACTGGTGCCCCGCCAGCGTGTACTGTTAGTGCAGACCGGTGCATGATATCATTATCATATTATAACAAAGTTTTAATATTAATAGTGCAACAATAATAATACGCAAACAATTGCTTGCATATACTTATGTCATGCTAAAAAACATGGTATTCCAGTTTTATATAAAATATTTACTTCCTAGTAGGTAAATCACCTTTATTTATTGATAATCGATAAATTTGGATAGAGCATGTTCCATACTGTGACTATGCAGTAGATACCTATAAATTATTGAGTTTACTTACACATTTCGATTTTTCATAACAATCAATTGAGCAATCTTTATGTAAATCGACTAATAAAGAATTAAATCGAGTAGGTAGCGCCATGCCATCTCTATATAAGTTATATTTCTATAAAAATATATTAGACTCACCGTGCGGCCTATCGTCCACGCTATCGCTGTCGACTTCGCTCCTCACGCTACCTGGACTCGCCCTCTTCAAATCCTCAGAACCCTGTCTCTGTTCATTCTGGAATCCATTCATCATCCTCTTGTCATACGACATGAAAAATGGAAAATTCGGCACTCGATTCTGTTGGAAATAATAACCCATTTTCCCATCCCTAACTTTAACTTCTTCATCTTCAGAATGATCGTTATTGCCTGCGTAATCCTGCGATATTGTGTTCTCTATATCAATGTCTGGCGATCGTCTGTCATTCAATCCAACTATTGATTCGATTGAAAAGTTTTTCGATGGTATTTTCGTCTGCATTTTACTAAGCTCCGAATCCATCACTAATATAATCACAGCACTAACAGTCACTGGCCACTAATGTTTATATTTTTTCTTTTTTAAATACGCGCTAATATTGTAAATGGAATGTATTCGTATTTGGAACGTCCGGATGTCAGTTCAGTACTGAGATTTGTGCAGAAGTTGTATGGGTTTAGTGCGACCACGCCTCTTGCGTGAAGGGGAGTAGACGCTGGCTTATAATATTAACCGTACGTTACTTTCAACTTTATTTTTTAACGCTTAAGATTCAATGTACCATAATATAATATAAAATGTTAGGAAAGATACAAATCAGATATACACTTTTAGACCTAGTGGACATGATTATACGATATGTTTTTCATTGTAAATCACATTTACAATAATTGAGTGATCACAACAATGATTGCGAGTTGACAAAGGAATATTTCCTAATCACTGATTAAAATTTTTAAACATAGAATCTTGTCGATTTTTTAAGTATAGTAACAAATAACCAATATGCAATGTATAAATAAATACGACCATATACATATGCCAGGAAAAATATACCTAGACAATTTCAAAAGAGTTAGTTATTACGCTAATAAAAGCTTATATTACGTAACAAAAACGAACAGATTTTACTTAAATGTCGTTTAACTAAAATTAATAATTCGTTTTATGGTAATGGTATCTAAGGTTCTAAATCTACCTGAAAAAAGATTCAAATGTCGTTTAAAACACTTTCTTTATATATAAGCATATTATAAAGTTGAAGAGTTCTTTAGCGATAATAATGTTTTTGTAGATAAACTTAAAATTCGTAGCACAGACAGTATTATCTGATTGCACTAAGAATGATTGCGAAGCCGTTTCTATGTTAACTATCGCATGCCTCTTACTTGTTATTCTGCAACTATTTATATTAAAAAAACATCTATTGAAAAGAGCAACATAGAAGTTTCTTGCTCATTTTTCTTATGATGAGTCAGCGTTCCGAATGAGTGGTAGAATAAAAAATATGACTGTTCAAATGTGCTTGTACTGAGTTTATTTGAATAAAGATTATTTCTATTTCTACGAAATCTCTATTCACTCTGTTTTTACAAGTATGTCAACCAGATAGTTTCTTATCCTAGATGATTTCGTGTGTACCGAAATTAGCATTAACCAATATTGTCTCTAATTTTAGTGTTGTATCTAGAGCTAGTACCTACTTAATTAAAATAAAAGACTTTTATTTATTTTGACTTAACTCCTGATGGCTTTGTCTAGCAGTCAACCGTCGCGTTGATGAAATAAGACATAAAATAGATTAATAGAGAAAAATAATATAGATACCTACCTATATATCTAGATGGCTGGCTCTCCCGCTATAGCTACTCATGAACGGGTACTGCTTATAGAAACTGATCTGCGCTGATTTCTATGACAAATTTATTTTATTACTCAACTGGCAGTTATTGTTCACACATAATTCAAACAACATGTATTTAAAAGCGCAACACGCAAGTTTTTACTCATTCATCTTGTAATTAAGCTATGTTCGGAATGAGTGGTAGATAATAATAAAAATATGATTATTCAGCTTGTATTAAGTTTATTTGAAAGATTATTTCTTTTTCTATTTTTCTTTATTTATAACTATATGGCAATAACGATTACACATTTTTACTAAGCGATTACTTTTTACTAATAATATATATTAATTAAATTATTAAAGAACATAGTACTAACCTAAAATTTTGTACAACGTTCAAAGTTCCCAACGTCAATAGTGACAATATACTTATTTGTATCTTAGTACCCACATATAAATAAATAATAAATAAATAAATTTTTTTTTTTTCATCTCCACAAATTACATAATTTGTGGAGATGAAATAAAAAATATAGGCTTAATTATAACATCACATGACAAATACCTATAATATTTTACTATTCAATAAGGGTAAACCTGCATGTGTGTGCTACAACAATACAAAACTGGTACATAGCTCAGTGTGGAGAATCACTCAAGGAGCAAAACACTGATTTTCAGCTATGTTCTCGAGGGTGAATAATATACTTATATTTATATTAGTACATTATTTATTGCAAAAAGAAGATTCTTTTTGCAATAAATAATGTACTAATAGAATAATGTACTTCGCTAAATAGACTAGACCGACTTCTAAGATTAGAAGTCGGTCTAGTCTATTTAGCGAAGATAAATCAGATGCACATCCGCATTGTGGTAACTAGTATAAGAAGAAAGTCAAAATTGTTGAGTCAAAACAATATATGTACATCATGGTATCATGATCAAGAAGGGCCCTCACTGGACAGTTGAAATTAAATAAACACATGCCAAACTTACGCCTGTACTTAACAAAGATTTGCAGATTTTGTTAAGTTAAAGAGGAAATGAGACTGTACATCCTATGTGGTTGTAGTCCACTCATGCATATACAAAACATCTCCTTTAGAAACACTCTATTCTGAAGAGATAAAACCGATCGCTCCTAAGAATATCCTTCAATTCTTATCCTTGACGGGCCTGGGCAGTGAACTCTGAACAAAGGTCGAGTACAATCAATTTCGCAGTGCTACAGGTCTAAAAACAACTTACAATAGCATAAACTCTTCAATAAAAAAATACGACTATTTTTTATTAAAGTAATTATTATTTAAATTATTACAAATAATTTTATAGTTTATATAGGTTTCATGTGCAAACACTGGCAAATATACCCCTCCCTGTCCCTGTTGTCCGTACCTATGGATGGAAAATGGTACAAACACGTGCAATCAATAACAAAAATAGGCCCTATAAAGTATGTCAATTAAAATATAAAATGCTTTTCTACAAAATGTGTATAAATGTAAAATAGAAATACAATATATCTATTTAATATTACATTATTTACTTAACTATTACTTTGAAAAATTACATTAATGTTTTGCCATTCCAGAGAACTAAGGTGCTACGAATCCAGTTATTAGTTTACAACATATTATCTCATCCTTAAATCTAAACATCAACCACAGATTAGGTACAATGCAAGATGCTTAACGCCTGCAATTGTTTACGTGTATACATACTTAATTATATTGAATAAAATAATAAATTAAGATTTAATTTGCAATTCGTTATATCATTTTCTTTACGACTTCTAGCGCCATCTTTGATCCAGAAGAAATAAATTTAAGTGGCGCCATCTTTTATCTACTAGCAAAAATACATAGTATCATAGTTTTAAGAGCAAAGCGGTTTAAATGTTTCTATTTCTTATAATAGATGTCGTGGTAGTAGATATTACTTGACCGCCTTATTTGACCCTCTTATAAAAATTGTTTCACCTGTAGATACGTACATTATCAGTGAGATTATGACGGCCTAGGTGGTCTATTGGTTAGCACACAGCCCTACTTCCAAAGTTAGCGGGTTCGATTACTCACACGATGTAAACATTTGTATAAATGAGTATGATTGTTTGTATCGGTCTGGATGTTTTCTATGTATATTATTGTATGTATTTACAAGAAAAAGGTACTTTAGCATTTCAATTAGATGTTTAATACCCATAGCACTAGCTTGGGACTAGATTGCGCTGTGTAAATTATTCACTTCTATCGTATTACGAGGTTAAGTGCTTTAAAATAACTTGGCAATCCGATCTCGTAGACGGTAATATCTCAGGACAATTCACTCAAAGCCAAGCTACAAGCTAAGCAGAGCTTGAAATATGGTTACTAGACTACTGATATAAATACATTATTAGAAACATTTTTTTATAAATACATACATAATATATATAGAAAACATCGACACCGATACAAATAATCAGACTTATGAATACAAATGTTTGTACTGTGCGATGATTCGAACCCATGACCATCGGAAAAAAGCAGTGTGCTAAACCGCTAGACCATTGAGGCTACGATCTTTTTTGTTATCACAGTAGACAATTAAAAAATCAAATTCCAATTTTATACGTAGATATGGGTGAGGTTGTTTTGGTAGTATACTCAATATACACATGTGTATATATTTGTTTACATACAATGTACATACATATATGTTTATATTTGTTTATATATCTAATTAGTTATGTACATAATCGAATTTTATCTCGGTGGGGAAATTTCCGTGTTAACTGAATTTCAATATTGTAACCGCTTATATCCAATACAATTAATGTCTGAACTGAAAATGTGTGATAAATTATCATGAAAACGCTAATTTAGTAGCCGGTACAAACTGGTCACATTGTACAAATTGTCGCTTACTTGCTATTGTATTGTTATTATCTAAACTACCTGCCATCACGTTTATAACTATTTTATTGAAATAGCAAACGTGACGACCATTAACAGATTTAGCAGCGAAATGTGGCAGTTTAATCTGAGGCAATTTAAGAAGATCTTGTTCTGTTAATCTACGCAAATAAATAAAACTTCCAATTAACAGCTTTTCACTACATACATATAAAAATAATGTATACGGTACTTATATAAAAAAGAAAATATATTGTCTGTCTGTTTGTTCCTGTTAATCTCTGAAATAGCTGGACCGATTTTTCCTTTCTCTTGCAAGTAGCTAATAATTGAATACACCGCCTCACTTCCGATGGTCACAAGTTCGATTCCTCGCACGATATAAGCATTTGTATTCATGAGCATAATAGTATTGGTTTGGGTATTTTTAATGTGTATTAAGTGCGTATCTACGAAAAAAGATCTAAGTATTAATATAAGATGTCTAGTACACATAACACAAGCTCGGTTTAGCTTGGAACTAGATGACGCTGTATGTTGTGTCCTGGAAAAATAAGCTGCTAGACGGCAGAAAATGTGAGACTGGGGTATCCACAGATACCACTTTGTACAAAGTTAAGCTATGTAAGTATACTGCTAGCAGTATGGCATCTAGTTTATTACTTACAGTAGCCTTCTTATAGTATAATAGTTACCTTATAAAAACCTATATTAAAATGTATCAGGAAAATGCTAATTTGTAACCGGTATGAACTGGTGTAGAAACACAATGTGTAGTCTGTGACATGAATACTTATATTTACATGATGTCAGAAGACCTTCAAAAGAAACATTTGAAACGGAGTTTGAAAAATACATAATTACATATATGGACTAATTAAA